CGATGCAGCACAACATGCACCAACCAAATCACTCTCGATGGAGATGTCTTGGAGGACGTTAACACATTTACATATCTTGGCAGCATCATCGATGACAATCAAGGTGGATCCGGTGCAGATGTGAGAGCGCGGTTTGGCAAAGCAAGGGCTGCATCTCTACAGTTGAAAAATATCTGGAACTCCAAACAACTTTCAACCAAAATCAGGATTTTCAATACAAATGTCAAGACAGTTCTACTGTGTGGGGCGGAAACTTGGAGAACTACGAAAGGCATCATCCAGAAGATACAAGTATCCTTTAACAGTTGTCTACGCAAAATACTTCGTATTCGTTGGCCAGACACCACCAGCAACAACGTACTGTGGGAGAGAACAAACCAGATTCCAGTGGATGAGGAAATCATGAAAAAGTGGTGGAAGTGGATAAGACACACACTACGAAAAGCACCTAACTGCGTCAAAAGACAAGCCCTCACTTGGAACCCTCAAAGCAAAAGGAAAAGAGAAAGGCCAAAGAACACACTACGCCGAGAAATAGAGAAAGACAAGAGAGGAATGAACAAAAATCGGACAGAACTGGAGAAGGAAGCCCAGGACAGAGTTGGTTGGAGAAAACTGGTGGGCGGCCTATGCTCCATTGGGGGTAACAGGCGTAAGTAAGTAAAATTATATGGTTGTGGAGATTGTTGAATTTTATTGAGATTACGAACCTATCTATCTGTTGAAGCGTTGGACAGTCGTTGCGTTTTAATGGCCCCGGATCTGACTGCAATTCGGACGAGCGATTAAATATGCTAATGTAAATAAACCTTCTGTTTAATTCCGTATATTACATCCAGGCAACTGTGGTAATGAGGAGCCAACTACTGATTAGGTGGGATGCATATATTTAATGCGTTCGTTTACGCAAACAGATACTACGATTAAGATGACTAACTACTTACTGTTAGACAGAAATAGACTTAAAGTATGGGATGAATAAAGTGAGGGATACACAAACATGTTTAAATAAGAAGTCGAAAACGAATAATTAAAGACGTCAGTAAATGCAGACTGTTCGAAAGCCAGAATAAACCATGTAGAGTTGACATAGTAGTACACGCTATAGAATCCTAGTATTGGACTTCTCAACATTGTGTGTTTACAATCCCACATGCAGAAATCTCGGGTGTAATCGCCAAATATCATCGTCTTCTTGAAGTTACACACCATTAGATCCCAACTCAGTGGTTAGGGAGTCTGCGTTTGATCTCCAGTGGTGGGGTCATGACCTTGGAATATTGGGAAGTCCCATAACGGGATGAGGTAGATTTCCAATTATTGTCTAACTTATATTGGTTAGTGATCTCAAAAAAAACTATAACTTAAATTACTGATAAAACTTCCTTCCATGCCATATTACTCTATACTTTGACGTCGTTACAACCACACATTAAGATTCCCTTAGTTTATACCTGATTATTAACAAACCTCAGCTGAAATATATTAATTACTACATTATTGTACAAACGTACATATAACAAGATACTACTGAAAAGAACAGCCTACAATATTGATCATTTTGTGGTTAAATTTAAAGCAAATAACACCAAAGTTGTTAGATAAACATCATAGATAAAACTAGTGCATGTTTTTTATATATCTGCATGTTATATTGTAAACGGTGTCAGAATGCATCATTACTCAACTTTTCTCAGGCCCCACTTTATGTCGGTCGTCTATTGGGTTCGTCACTAAATAGGCTTGAGGCTATTACGAGTTTTTTACGAGACTTTTACCAGCGTCCAGGTAGGCTACCTTGAATCCCAAGCTGAAGATAAAAGGCTTTGTAAGCGTAGAAAGTATATTCTACAAACACCCAGCAATCACAATACACAATCAAGCATACAACTCTCGTTTATTTATACATCACAGAAACGTCCTTGGGACAGTTAAGAAAATAGCACACTAAATTACACAGGAGCCAATCACAGCCATGGATTTTCCTGGTGGGAAATGAAATCTGAAGATCAACTGATCAGTCCATGCTGGCGAACGTGAAAACCAAAATAAGGCATTTATCAAGCGAGTTGTGGGGATCTAACATCCCCAACACAGACAATACATAAGAAACACTTATACAAACTTGCGTATTGCCATTCTGTTAAGGCAAAACAGATCACCCTTCTCCCATAATTTCCTATTGATTCTTTCAAGTGATAGAGTCTACATTACCCACCATTCAGCTATTCATTTAATGGACACTTAAAATAAGGTAATAATCGTTTATTAATAGTTTGATAGTATGAGATGGTTTAGAATGTGTGTAATCAATAATTAATTTTAGTGTTGAAAGACTAGCAGGTGATAGGTAAAAAAAAAGTAATGAGTGACAACGTTACTAGGTCGATAACGTAGATCAGACGATTCACCTACAAAAAAAAATTGACTTTAAGACAGATATTTAATACGAAGATACTACAAAGGTTCCTTCAAATGCAAAGGGTACTTGTAAATCTTTTTAATAAGATAAAAGAAAATGATTATCAGCTATCTCCTGAAAAACGAAAACCTTTGTGTACCACATTCTCAGAATACTATCCCAGGTCTCCAAGACCAACACTAATCTACCTCCCTTTTCAGGTCCCTCAAGAAACAACCTTCCACGGTGTGGGCAGCCGGGAAGTGACAACCGCTCTCATACCCATAAAAGCACACGAGACAATATTGTTCAAAATAAAATCCTTCCTACACCCACACATATCTCTCTTCTCTCCAAAAATAACTTTACTCACATTCCCTTATCTCACTGCACCGCTAATGCAAATGATGCGAGTTCACGAAACGTCATTCCTGGTCTCTTGAAACCTCGTTCTAGACTACATGTTGGAGCATTTAATGTACGGACGCTGTGTCAAAAAGGGCAACAAGCTTCCTTAGCAAGGACATTAGTATCTCGTGCCATCGATGTGTGCTGCGTCTCGGAAACGCGCATACAGGATCCGAGTAGCATCATTCACTTGACCTCACTATATCAAGATGAAGAAGCAACTCGATTTACTCTTCGTGTATCTGGGAGCCCTGAAACTGCTTCCAGGGGTCTTGCTGGCATAGGTATAGCATTGAGTTGTAGAGCTGAACAATCTATCCTAGGCTGGATCCCAGTACACAGTCACTTGTGACTTTCTAAACTTTTCTCACTGAATCATACTTCTCGAATAATATCTTCTAATCCTAACCTCTCCGATTACTTCTAATACCTTTACTACCTCTTCTACTATTGGATTTGAATTGACAATTACATCTGTGTGAGCGAATGTGTTATGGCAACATGAACTGATGTACTTACGTACAAAGTTCTACACTGCATCTGACTGACTGACTGAGAATACTATCCACATTTTCATAATAACGTATAGTCAGTCAGTTAAAACGTAGAACTTTACATCAGTTCAGGTTGCATGCCACATTAACACCGAGACGCAACTGTTAGTTAAAATCGCATAGTGGTGGAGATAGTAGAAGGATTAGCAGTAATGGAGAATATTAGGGATCGAAAATATTATTCAAGAAGTATAGTTCAGTGGGATAACTTTATAAAGAGAAAGACAGAAATGATGAGGAATTTTGAAGATTAGAATTTGAGAGAACACGAAGAGTGGATGCACCTGCGCCGTTGCAAACGATTTTGAGCCGTGTCGTTCAAGGTCTCTAACCATAGTTTACTAACATTTCGCGGACCCCAACCCGGTCCTCTACACTAACCAACATGACTCAGTCCACTTGTCAGCGACTTCATGTTTTGATCATAAAAGCGTACGTACATAATAATGTACGCTTTCAGATTATGTATGTATATAAGCTTCATAATTTGCCAGATATGTATGAACTTCATATTAACTGATGTTAGTGGAACATAGATGGAATTAAAGCATGACTAAGTCAGCTGCGCGCTGATTGGCCAATTTTCTAACCAATCAGCGCCTGATCGATTCTTGGAGAACAAGGTAGAAAATTCTCGGGTTGTTAGCTTCATGCTGATTGACTAAATCTAATCCAGTCGATCACGTGAATTACTACTATCCAGAAGCTTCTCATGTAAATAATGCTATAAATAAACTAACGTTGTATCTATTTTTGGCCTTCGCTTTCGGCTTCTTATTTCCATCTAACCTTTGCTATTTGGAATATAATCATTTTTCCTGTTCAACCGTGTTTTTCGATTCTTTGGAACACTTGTCCAGCGTATTGTGTGGTCAGAGAATACAATAAGCAATAGGAATTAGCTGGAAATTATTCAAGCAAGCGTTACAACAACTGTGGTGCGAACTGCTTATAGGTAGTATATGACGTGAGTGTCAACGTAATCCGGCATATTGTAGCGTGTCACGGAATACGGAGGGTGATATTAACTGACCAGGGTCCCTGTTTTGAAAGTGACGGGTTTAAAGCCCGTCTAAAGCAGTTTGGCGTCAAGAGGACACGAACTACACCGTATCATCCGCAGATAAACGGGCTTACGGAGAGAAGACAAGAAGAAGCGCGTAAATGCTAGTCAACTGCAGAGATGGTTTCAAGATTATCAAGTGTATGAGTCACGAAAAGCACCAAAGATGACAACGGTACAGCAATCAGAAAGACTCCGACGACAGCTTATTAAAAGTGGGGACGAGTGTGGTGCGAGCTACTTATAAGTAGTATATGACGCGTGTGTAAACGTAATGTCTGGCAGCAGAAGATGGGGGAAGATTAAGAAAGGAAGAGTTAGAACACAATCGAATTTGTATGAAACGCATGAATAGTGACAATGGATTGATGTTTTGCAAATGAACGATTTACGATATGGTTTTCCTTCTTTTACTGAGTAACTCTGTAATTTTCGTTAAATACAATCCGGTTGCCCCACCTGTGTTCTCGTTCACTACACAACAACTGAAGATCGATAACTATTAGATTTCTTTTGCGTAACACGACTATTATTTGAAATTGTTACCGATTATTGTGAACCATTTGAATAAATATCCCAAAAAGAAATTGTTAATTAATTTTGAATTTTCCCATATACAACTACACTTGTAAAATATATATATTTATTCCCTTTCTCTCTCTGATTATTTATTTACACTGTCATAATCGATGACCTTGTTGATTCAATATTCAATAATCAACTTTGTCAATGACAATGATCAATTTGAAGTGATAAATAAAGAGAAAAGACAAAAAAAATAACACAGAAATTTGAAAGAAAATGTTACCTGCCTATTGAGAGAAGTGTGTCAACATTTCATGTACAAATTAACTACATACAATTATTGACTAATACAACTTGAAAGATGGAAGTTGAAAAAATTTTATGCAACCCACTGGACACTAAACTAACGAAACCGATTAATGAATGACACAATCATTTGGGTTTTGTATTTGTAAAATTGTCTTCATCTGGAGAAATTTGTAAATCAGGATAAATAGGAAATCCTGATTTATTATTTTGTACACTGGATGTCGATGATGATGATGATTCTATTTTATCAGTAAGCAGTAATCCTTTTTTAATCATTTCTTCACGTTCTTCTTTACGTTTTACCTAAACCCGAAAAAAAACGAGTAGCGAAATAAGTAGTATATTGTCATTAGTATTAATATTATTATTATTATTATTATTATTATAATCTTTTAGAGTACCTCAGTCAGTCAGTCAGATGCAACGTAGAACTTCGTACGTAAGTACATCAGTTCATGTCGCCATACCACATCAGCACAGAGATGTAATTTTCAATTCAAATCCAATAGTAGTAGAGTTAGTAAGGGTATTCGAAATAATCGGAGAGGTTAGGATGAGAAGATACTATTCAAAAAGTATGATTCAGTGAGAAAAGTTTAGAAAGACAAAATTCGAGGTGTTGAAGAACCCATAAGATTAGGATTTGAGAGAACACAGAGAATAAAAGCACCGGCGCCATCGCAAACGGTTTTGAGCCATGTCATTCAAGGTCTCTAACCATCGATTATTATCATCTCGCGGACCCCAACCAGGTAGTCGACAATTACCGACATGGCTAAGTCCACTTGTCAGTGACTTCATTGATTTCTGCAATGTTTTGTTTTGGCCGCCCCTAACTTTCTTCCAACCTACTCCTACACCACAAAACATAGCTCGTCGAGGCAGTCGGTGGTTAGGCATACGCAGTACATGCACCAACCACCTCAACTGATGAAGTTTCATTACTTCATCTATTGATCTGGCATTCTTACCTAGCACCCGTTTCTTAATAACAGCGTTGCTCACTCAGTTGTCCCAGGATATATGAGCAATGCTTCGAAGACACCTACAATGGAAAACCAGTAACCTATGAATATCTTCTACTCTCACTGGCCATGTTTAACAGCCATAAAGTAAGACGGAGAGAACTATTGCGTTTTAGAGTACCTAATATTTAACAAATAATTGATATGTATATGTATGTAACTACTTTGTTAAGCACGCCCATTTACAAACTTAGCTAATAATCCTTCTATGGTTAGTGTTAGCCAAAAATCCCAAAAGAGGAGGATGGATCAGCGATCCAATCTTGTTTAAAACAACGCTAATCAGAAAAAATCATTGAAACTTTGCCTGAGTGTCGAACGGTCTCTAAATACAAGAATTATGATTGCAACATGGTGAAAACTGAGTTTATTAAGAGGTCACAAGGCTGATGCTCATTCTGACTAGTGGAGCAGTAATCAGCAAAAGTATGTAGGATGGTACACACAATTCGGCAGACAAAGAGAAATATTCAATTACGGATGCAAATCAGAAGAAAATATGGCGGTGTTTGAAATAAGTAAACCCCATTGGATGCAATCTAGATGAAAAAGATTAACTTCGCGAGTGATGTTGTTGTTGTACTCTGGTCACAAAGATGAAAATACTTTGCACACGCAAGGAGTTGCACTGATGCTATATCCAAAGCACAAAAAGCACTTATACGGTGGGAATCTCATGGACCCAGGATCATCAAAGCATTCTTCAGAAGAAAGAAAGAGTGATTACAATGAGTGTCATCTAGTGACGTGTGCCCACTAATGATATGAGTGGAGACGATAAACATCAGTTTTGATAGAGGCTGCGGTTAATTGTAGAGAAAAACACGTAAAAAGATCTGACCATCCTGAATGGAGACCTTAACGATGGTTGGAATGAACAACATCGGATATGAAAACCTCATGGGACGGTGTGAACAGGGAGAAAGGAACAAAAATGATGAGTGTGGTATGTGTAGTGGATAGGTTGAGGACTGTCGCTCGTTCTGGGGCACATGTTTAGATTCAGATCATGCCCTAGTGCGAGCTCGTATTTGTTTGAGGCTTACTGGACGTAGGAAAGATACTGTAAGGAAGCCTCTAACGGCTTTACTTAATGATAATCAAGCTAAGAAAATATTTCAGGAGGAACTAGAAAAACAGTTAGGCGACCATGCAAGTGATTCCCATCCGGAGGCAGCTTGGAATGATATCAAGAAGGCTGTGGAAACAGCAGTGATATCTGCTAGCAACGTAAACCATAAGCCGATCTGATGGATGCTCGAAAACGCATCCCACCTGACTCTGAACATGACAAAGAGCGTAGTCAGCTTAGGCGCAGACTTATAAAAAGCCTACGTAACGACCGTGAACAGTGGTGGGTGGCGAAAGCAAAAGCGATGGAATAGGCAGCGGTGATAGGCAACAGTAGACTTAACCGGTATTAAGAACCCGAATGTGAGTGTATATACGTACGAAGTTGTACGTTGCAACTGACTGACTGACTGACTGACTATTTACGCCGTGTTCCAGTTCAAACGAAAACCAAACAGACACAATAATAATTTCTTAGTTTTAAGCGTTAAAAAAAACTTTTTGAAAACAGAAAATGACCATGGCATAATTTGTAGACCAAAAAAAAAACAACAAAATAACCTGATAATCACACCTCTAGTTCCGCTGCCAGATTAAGACGATTATTCTTAGATAAAGCGTTAGCTTCTATCTCTTCTTCTGTAGGTGGATCAGAACGTCGATGATTCAACCATGAATGCCATTCAGGCGGTAGAAATAATGAATCTTAATTATGAAATGAAAAAAAATAATAATAATAATTAGCAGTAAAATCCAAACCGCTCATGATGCTTGAAAATATTTTGTTCCTTAAATTTATTTTAGAAAAAATCAATTTAATGAAATTCGTTTTAAATACAGAGGAATGAGAGAAGGATTGGTTGTGGAGATAAGAGTTATCAAGGGGTATAGGAAGGATTTGATTTTGACAGACTTGGTCCGATGTGCTGTTACAGGTATGAGGGCGGATGTCACTACCTAGTTTCCCACACCGTGGAACGGTATTTCTTGATGAACTCGAAGAGAGAATTTAATTAGCGTTGGTCTTAAAGACCTGGAAGCGTGACCGCAGAGTCCAACGGACAACTGCTTGAGGTCGGTAATGCACGGTCTTTTTATTGGAAGTTTGTGAAGTGTTAGCTCCGCTCTTCAAGTGGCCTTACTACCACAGACGGAAATCCGTTGGGTAAGCTGAGGTGTGGCGTTTATAGGGTCGACCCTTTCTAACCCTTCCTTCCTTGTGAGAAGGCAGCATCGCTGCACATGCTGATTGTCCGAAGGAAACGCCTTACTGAAATAATACCCCTCTACAGTCAACAGTATGACTTCGCCCTAAGACCTTGGGTAGCTGCTTTTAGTCTCATCGTACTCCAATCGACCTGTCTGGCATGGTAGAACCTACAGGAACATACGTTTCAGCCAATTTAGCCTGGTTGGGTTATCATGATAGGGGAGCCCGACCTCCATGTCGAGGTAGCAGGTACAGTCGGGGAAACGGTAGGAAAATTTATCGATTATCTACGTATTGGTCATCATAGAATAAACTAATGCAACCAACACCTGATTTCCAGGTAGAAAGATATTTTATTTTTACATGAAATTGTTGTGACATTGATTTGAGAAAAAAAATCCATGCTCTTTTAAGATTGGAAAATTGTTGAGCTCAACCAGAATCTTTGAACGAGTATGATTTTTTTTTAAAGGTGTATTTGAGTATTGACCACACTACCAACAGATTCAGTCAGTCAGATCCAACATAGAACTTCGTACGTAAGTACATCAGTTCATGTTGCCATACCACATCAGCACACAGAGATATAATTGTCAATTCAAATCCAATAGTAGTAGAGGTAGTAAAGGTATTAGAAGTAATCGGAGAGGTTAGGATGAGATATTATTCAAGAAATATGGTTCAGTGACAAAAGTTTAGAAAGTCAAAACTAGAGGTGTTGAAGAATGCAGAAGATTAGGATTTGAGAGAATACAAAGAATCAGTGCACCGGCGCCATTGTGAACGATTTTGAGTCATGTCATTCAAGGTCTCTAACCATCGATTATTATCATCTCGCGGATCCCAACCAGGTAATCGACAATTACCGACATGGCTAACTCCACTTGTCAATAACTTTATGGATTTTTGCCATGTTTTAGTCCAGCTGCCCCTCGCTTTCTTCCAACCTAATCCTACACTACAAAACAAAGCTCGTCGAGGCAGTCGGTGGTTCGGCATACGCAGCACATGTCCCAACCACCTCAACTGATGAAGTTCATAACTTCATCTATTGATCTGCTATCCTTACCTAGTACCCGTTTCCTAATAACAGCGTTGCTCACTCTTGAGTGTCCCACGATATACGAGTAATGCTTCGAAGACACCTATGATCGAAAACCAGTACCAACAGATGATTATAATACACACAAGTAAAGTTATAACTTAGCATAGATTTCATTTTTTTAAACTAACCTATATCAATATCTCTATTGGAATAGTCTAATGTATTTTGTCCAGGTAATAGAAAATATCTTTTAGGTAATTTTGCTAAATGTGTATGTTCACTTGCTTCATTCGGTGGTGCTTCAAAATATCGATTACCGGATTTATCTACACCAACAAGACGTGGTCGTTTACGATGAAACAATGTTCGAAATGTAATAAATATTTGTTTCAATATTGATCGATTCATTTGTGATGTGGTCATGAATGTGCTGAAACAGATATTAATTGGAAATTATATATACATATATATATATATATATATACACAAAAGAGTAAAATTAGATTTAAATATTGTGATAATTATTGACCTGACTCTTCTCTACCTCACACGCAACAACAAATGCAAGAGAAGACGACCAGTGTAGCAGCAGCCTGTGCAGCAGCTGTAGGTCTCATCATACATAAAGGAAAAAGCAAAATCTACCGATGCAACACAACATGCACCAATCAAATCACTCTTGATTCCGTTACTTCCTGCCTACCTCTCTTCTGTACTCGACCCAATAAACAACTCCATCCCACGGTGTTGCGTTCTGATCTATATAGGAGATTTGGAAATAGTATTTTGAGTTGTATTGGGATATTTGAATTTGGGATGCCGCTAGGATTTGAATAGCTGCTATACGTAACAGCATTATATGCAACACAGCATGGACCAACCAAATCACTCTTGATGGAGATGCTGCCTTGGAGGACATTAACACCTTTACATGTCTTGGCAGCATCATCGATGACAATCAAGGTGGATCGGATGCAGATGTGAGGGCACGGATTGGCAAAGCAAGGGCTGCATTTCTACAGTTGAAAGATTTCTGGAACTCCAAACAACTTTCAACCAAAACCAAAATCACGATTTTCAATACAAATGTCAAAACAGTTCTACTGTGAGGATCGGAAACTTGGAGAACTACGAAAGGCATCATCCACAAGATACAAGTGTTTATTAACAGTTGTCTACGCAAAATACTTCGGATTCGTTGACCAGACACTATCAGCAACAACGAACTGTGGGAGAGAACAAGTCAGATTCCAGTGGAGGAGGAAATGAGGAAGAAGCGGTGGAAGTGGATAGGACACACACTACGAAAAGCATCGAACTACGTCACAAGTCTTCACATGGAACCGTCAAGGTAAAAGGAAAAGAGGAAGGCCAAGGAACACACTACGCCGAGAAATAGAGAAAGATATGAGAGGAATGAACAAACATTGGACAGAACTGGAGAAGGAAGCCCAGGATACAGAGTTGGTTGGAGAAAACTGGTGGGCGGCCTATGCTCCATTGGGGGTAACAGGCGTAAGTAAGTAAGTAAGTAAGGTAGTTATTGTCGCATGAGTTATTGTTTACAAATTTATTTATGAAGGAAAGTGTCATTTATTGTTATGAGATCATATAACTAACTAACTCACTGATTGCTGTTGAAAATGATCGATAAAACTATGATTATGAAATACTGACAATTCACTCGTAATTAATATGAAGAGAATTTGTGGAGATTGTATTATAGTGAAGGGGAACACAGGTGAGGCAACCGAATTGTATTTAACGAAAATTACAGAGTTACTCAGTAAAATCGGAAAACCATATCGTAAATCGTTCATTTGCAAAATATCAGTTCATCATATCAAACTGGACTGTTTCTGTTGCAAAACATCAATCCATTGTCACTATTCATGCGTTTCATACAAATTCCATTGTGTTCTAACTCTTCCTTTCTCGATCTTCCCTCCATCTTCTGCTGCCAGACATTACGTTGACACTCAAGTCATATACTACTTATAAGTAGCTCACACCACAGTATGATAATCTTAACATTGAAAATTCAACGTAAACTACTTAGTGAACATTTAACTCTCTTTAAGAGCAATGATAACACTTACATACACAAGAACAAATTTTCTAAAATTTACTTTGAAAATACAAACAACCATAAAATATGTATTTTGTAAAACAAACGTCAGTGATATCAAGAACAGTTCTAATTCTTCATTGAATGTGAAAGTTATAGTTGGCTAAGCTAATAGTCACTTAAAAGTATCGGTCGCAGTCAACACGTTCTGTTGTAGTGAAGGAATCACAGGTAAGGACAACCGAATTGTATTTATCGCAAATTACAGAGTTATTCAGTAAAATAGGAAAACCATATCGTAACCGTTAATTTGCACATCTTCAATCCATCATCAATCGATTGTCTGACATTTCACTATTCATGCGTTTCATATAAATTCCATTGTGTTCCCACTCTTCCTTTCTTGATCTTCCCCCACCTTCTGCTGCCAGACATTAC